AACATATCCTCGTGAAAGTGAAATTCTGCCACTGCGTTTCTCAATAACCCAGCGAAAAATAATGGGATGTAAACCCGACAACTTAATAATATATAATATTATTGGGCACTGTTAACTTTCTAATTTGACACCTATAACGTGTTTTCGTACATATATAGCTCCTTTAGGCTTGATACACAAACTTCTAATGTGCATCGTCCCTTCATAAGGATCGAGCGTAAAAGTACAAAGTAGATAAGAAACTAAAATCTCCTTTGTTTCCATTAACACGTACCAGGTATCCGATAATACGAGTTATAGCCGTGGTGAAGCGCATATGCAGATTCGGCAACGCTATAACATGTTTATGGCTTATGCGCAGTCGTATATATCACCCGGATATCATGTACTTTTATTTTTGTGCACTCTGCGCATACGCTGAGATGTCCCACTCGCAGATGATCGCGTAAAATGCATTTTTATCTTGACTAAAATTTCAGACAGTGAAGTTCCATCGACAAGCAGTTACTGCAACCAGCCCACAACGAATAGCAGTGTTTTCGCAAACAGGACGCATCGCGTTATTCACACTGCACACCATACGCAAAATATTCCCGGTTTCACCGTCCGTAAAGGTCAACCAATATTGTCGATGCCTTTCAACGCACATACACGCCACAGTCAACACTGCACATTTTCGAAGACGATGCCGCTGTTCGTTGCACTGGCCGTCACGTGTGTTTACTTATCCGAGATAAACAGCCAGCCAGCGTGGCAAATATTTCTTCACTCACTTTACCACACACCTAAATGTTCTCTGACACATACCACAGCTAACGTTACCACTGTGAGATGAAGATTAAGCCTTTAAAAAGAAAAAAATTCACAGCATATCCACGGGGTGAATGATGATGAGTGGGCGAAGCTCTTGAGGGGAAATCATCGGTAAAACTGTGATTGTTCAGTGAAAGTTCGCCCACTACATCATCAAGAAATACGTGAGAAACACTGTGTGTGTATATGTACGGCACGGTCCCCGCGCCGTTGCCTTGACGCTTGGGCCTCTCGTTCTCGAACACTGGGATCTTGGCGGCGGCGTCGCGCAGCCAGACGACACGCTTTGGCCTCCCACTCTCGTACGGGAGGATCATGGTGGTGGTGTCGCAGAGCTTCACGGAGCGCTTCTGCCTCGCGGGCTCGCACATCGGCATTCTGTCTGCGAGCATGCGCTGCCGCCACCTTGCGAGCTCGCCGCTCTGCGGGCTTATTTATCGGGCAACTCCAAGCGTGCGCCAACAGCGAACGGATTTTATTACAACGCTCCCCGCCATCTAGTAAACAATCGCAGAACTAAAGAAGAGGTAACCACGCCATCTAGTAAACAATGCAGCAACTAAACTAAAGGTGGCTACATACATACGCCAAGGATGGACAGAACCACGCCTTAAGGAGCTTCGCCCCTAAAACTTGCCCAGAGCACCGAGCGACTGCCCCCCACTGAGCCACCAGCGGGAGTGTTTTGCCAACCACCGCCTTGCACGTGCACCAGTGACGTCACGCTGTGACGTTACCGGTGCTTATACCGCGAGAACAAAACGACGACACAGAGACAAGAAGGACACGACGTTTTGTTCTCGCGCTATAACTATCGTCATGCCATACCAACTAGCCCAAGCTGCCACACCGGTGCACGTGCAGGTCTAGAGGTCTATTGGGCTGAAAGTCAAAACCCAAACCGGCTGGGGCTGCACCTTGCGAGAAGAAGCGAAGTCCCGGAAATTCGCAGCTAAGCCGCGCCTTCTAACAAACAACGAGGGATGGAATGTGGGGTTGAAGGAAAGGAAAAGGTAATATCTGCTGCAGCCCTTGCGAGAGCCCGCCTAGACGACAAGGGATTAATCGACTCCTCCTCCTCTCCCGTTTCTCCATAAGATCGGCTGAATGGAGTGGCATGCTTTGACAATAAACTGGCGGACCACTACGTTGTCCTACCCGAACGCAATCAGGCAAGTTCGGCACGTGTACCGGGAGCCGGTTTGTCGAACCTCACCCTTCTGCCTGAAGAGTTCTTGGAAACAAAGGTCATCTAAGATCATCGGACGTGCGGGAAATCTTGGTGGCGTGTGCGAAACGTCGGTGCAGTGCGTTTGTGATCATATTTGGGCATCGTGTAGACTGTGCCCTCTCCACGTGCATTGTGTAGTGTCTTTCCCCGCCTTCGTGGGTGGAGCACCTAGACCATGGAGCACCGTATGGGCTGAAGCCGCGGACAATGCGCCCAAGGTTAGCAACACGGTGCTATATAAGCGGAAGATTTTGTATATTTGGAGTTCAACAGTTCTCCTGTACAGTTATTGACTTCTAGTTCATACTTGATCGCTTGATTACCTCCTTTCAAATTCTCAGTTAATAACCATGTAAATGAATTGTTGCCATTCTTACGAGCGCCTCATCTGACTTGTTCGACGATGGGTCCGAGGCCGGGGGCCCGCTACCAGAATGATACCAGTAGGATCCGGAGTCGCAATAGTGTGTGTGTGTGTGCGTGTGCGTGTGTGTGTGTGTGCGTGCGTGTGCGTGCGTGTGCGTGCGTGTGCGTGTGCGTGTGTGTGTGAGAGAGAGAGAGAGAGAGAAATAGAGAGAGAGACAGCATGCGAACATGCTTAAAATATTCTTACTGCAAGATGCGCATTAGATTTTACCAAAATCTTTGGATCTGTGGTCGCTATGCTTTAGACTGACTTGGAGAAAGCCTTAGATTGCGTGCCGCACGATTTGCTTATAGCCATAGAAGAACATGTTAATGTGGGTACAGTAATCGTTGAAGCCTTTCAGATGGCATACACGGGGTCTACCACTCGTCTGACCGTTAACAAAGAGTAAGGTAAATCGATAGAACAGCAGTGGTCCGTGCGCCAAGGGAGCGCGCTCTGTCTTCTTCTGTTTTGCCTTTAGATTGAAAGCTTCTGTCGAAGTATATTACACAGCAACATCATCAAAGGCTTTCGGCTTCATGCATATGAAGTGCGTCTGCTGGCGTGCGCGGATGACATTGCTATCTTTTGTACAAACCTCAGAAGTATCCCAGGAGTAACTTAACGAAAACGTTTCTGTGAGGTTAGTGGAAGCGCAGGTAACTAAGCAAAGTATCTTGGTTTTTGGCAAAAATATTCGGAATGCATCCGAAACTATTTCATGAACGTTCAATGAGTGACAACAATGATAAAATACTTGGGCTTTCGCTTGGCAAACTACAGTGACAGTGGTCCTTACTGGCGCAGACAAGCAGTTGAAATACGTGAAAAGGCAGAAAAATGGAAGGGTAGGAATTTATTCATTTTTTCTCGCACCATCATTTGCAGCCTGTTCTTCATTACGAAGATGTGGTATGTTTTGCACGTTTTGGTTGTTTTGCTCTTGAACGATTGTTCGGAAAATTTTATCGTATTTTTGCCCTATTTATAGGGGGTTACACGTGGGAGAAAACAATCCGGATAAATTTTTTTCGAGTGTGCGCGACGATGGCCTGAGTTTGGGCCACCTCTTTCTGCGACAGATTGTAAACCGTTTATTGTACCTTCGCGATGTTAAGGCCATTTGTTTCTCACTGTTTGTCAAATGCGATTGACTAGTGCTGTGCCCGATTTTGTTGTGTCTTCAGTTAGATTTGAATGTAGAAGACAAAGCTACTTTTAGGAAATTGTCGAGTCCTCTCGCTTCGTGAAGGCACGTTTTTTTTCTGCATATTTAAGCGCCATTTCCCGTAAAACATTTTATAAAGATTTATGTGACGCGGTTTTTCAGTTGTTCTGTACCGCACTCAGTACTCTGTAGGAACAGGGAGCAAAATGTTAAAATGCGTCGAACGCATGCCTGTGCGTCCGGAGGTTAAAACATTCTTCTTCAAACTTCATGCTGGTGTCTTGCTAGTAACGAAGTGAATGACTGACAAAGGCTTATTCGTTCCGTGGGGTGATCACTGCTTTTTGTGTCGGAAGCCCGAAACACTTGGTCATGATTTTCTTGATTGTTGAGACGTGGTGTTCTTCTGAGATCTCGTACATAAGACATTAAAGAAGGGTTTCCCGCTGGACACACACGGAATAAGGTACCTCGTTATTGATAATGAGGATAGATTTACGTATAACATCGTCATGCTATTGGCTCTGGATAATTTTTGGAGGTCGCGCATGGCTATACGTCATACTGATGTCGATGCTCGACGAGCTATTGAAAACTTTAGAGAGTCTTCAAATTCGTTTCTGAAACTGCAAAAAATTTGATACGAAATGCCCGATTTGGCACCACGTATGGCATCACTATTGTTCATGAAACAATTGTAGAAAATTTGTCCTGCTGAAAACATAAGCACTGCAACATGGAAAAAAGCGGCTTGGCTCAGTGGCAGAACACTGGGCTGGCATGCAGCGGACACGGGTTCGAGCCCGCTGGGTCCTTGGTACTAAGCTTTTTTGTTCTTATTTTGTGCGAAGTGGTTACGGACACCTGTGGTGGTCACGGTGGTGGCGGAAAACTGCGGCACCACGCGTAACCTAAGTCGTGATCTCATAGCAACTTTCGCTGTATCATTTCCCGGGCGCGAGAAGACATGGGCCCAAAAGGCCACCCCTGGCTTCGGCACTGCTTGGTTGTTTCGACCCAGTCGCAGGAAGGTTTCCGTTGATCATGCGAGTGTTTTCAATCAGCCTAAATGTTAGGCGCCGCCAAATTGGTGATGAATGCATGGTAAGGTTTTACAGAATAGCTTTGTAGTGGGAAAGTTTTCAATCGCTATTCCATTCGCTAGTATGTTTGTGCATGCATTTTAACAAATGTGTAGCACCCCTTAGTAATATTTCTTAGCTTCTCAGTGCACTATGTTTTGAATTACTAAAGTCAATATAAGTTTACAAGTTTACGTTCACACATTGAGATAGCATAAGACTAAAGATTGTTGCGCCATTTTTACCAGATGCAGTGCACTAATCAGTATTACCTACAATTTTAGAGTTTTGACTTACCTTCTACGTTAACATTAAGAAGCGTTAAGTATCTTTCTTCTTGCTTTACAGTCAGAGAAATATTTGTGGTATCGTTACGAAAAGGGCTAAAAAGAAAAGGATAAATGCTTACCATGATGTAACATGTATTAGGCCAACATTCAAGACACTCAAATATAAGCAAAAATTTCGCACTTTTGAGCAATTAGTACTCGTTTTAACAGGGAGATAGCTATGAGACGTTTAACGTTCTAAAACCGCCATATGACCTTGAAAGATGCCATAATGAAGTTGTCTGAAAATTTTGACCACTTGGGGTTCTGGAACGTGCAGCAAAACGTTTGTTTTATCAGGTATAGAAATATCCAGTCTGGCGCTTGACAAATCGCCATGTTTTTTTGGGCTTTGCGTTATGGAGTATAGCTAATATTTTCTTTTTAATAAAGTTGGTTTATTGTATGGATGAAGGAACAATTGTGATAGCAGCAAATAGCAGTGTTACGCGAAGTTAGGCAGGCAGCTAACTTTTCTGAGTGTGATTTCGTGTAGCTCTACGAAACGCTGGTGTAAGAAAATACTGCCGCTCCAGAGGCATGCTTTAACCGCACAGCGTGTTCACTTTCAAATATAAGAATGTGAAAGGGAATACTAGCCATCGGCAGATGTATACCAAGATAGCACGTGCATGAGCAACTATTACGATCACGCCCATTGTATCAGTGTTAAAAGTTGTTTCTCGAGAGACACTCTCTACTCTCTCGTGTGTTTTCATAGACGTAGACGACGGGCAGCACTTTTCCTATCTGCTTCGACGGCAGGTCTTTCGAGTGGGGTGAGGGTATCGCATGCGCCCTCCCAGTGATGCACATAGTCCACTTCATTCGATCTCTGCTTCAGTCGTGAAAATCGCTCTCCCTCGCGTGCCTTCCGTACGTCAAGGCATACGATGCGTGGAGGCGTGTTATCGATTTGGTCTTAATACAGAATATGATGGTGATAATGGCAGCGATGGTGACGGCAGCGGCTATGGCAAGCACAAAAACCCGTCAAGAGGGCCAATGTATTTGCTTTCACAGTAAGACACTCAAAGATCCCCATACATTCACATGAGACAATTCGATGGCTAAAGCCGTAATCCTTGTTTTCTACTCAGTCAATGCATTGCCACTTCCCATGATCTTCTGCCCTTGACGGCAGGCACGTAGCCAAAATTTTTTTTTAGGTGGTGGGGATCAAGACCTAACTTTTTGAAAAAAAACGTCTTTCCATGGCGGCTAAAAGGTTGCCCGGGAATGTTGAATGTGCCGAGTAATAGAAGAAATCGAGAACAAAGTGAAACGCATCTCAACACGCGAGCTATTCAGCGATAGAAGGCAAAATTGGACACTGCAGTAAAGCTAGTGCGTGTGCACCAGAAAGAACAATTTCCAAGAAAGTAATCTCATACAAAGTCAGTAATGGAAGGACTAGTGACATAAAAAAGGAGGAGGGTGTATGCAAGCAAACTGATCGTCCGCTTGCGCATGCGCTGCAAAAAAAAGTATCGGACACCTTTTTCTGACATTTCACACTCTGCCTTAACAATAGGCCTGCTAAAATAATGGGAGCTGTTTTATGGCAGGATTTTTCAAACAAAGAACACACACATTCTGCAAAATAATTTTGTTAGACAACAAAAAACTTGAACACCGATGCTTCCTGACTCGCACGAGGCACTACGTTAACATTCATTTCAGCCAGAAACTTTAAAGATTGGCTTTGCCAATAGCTTTACCACTAGTGAAGGTCAACGCAAAGAAGAAAAAAATGAACATGTAGCCTGGCCGAAGAAAGCGGTGCACGCTACAATATTCATGCGTCGCGCTTTCTTCATAAAGAGAGAGAACACATCTTTATGTAAACACAGGGATAACTGTGTCGGCACTCACATCCGGTGAATGGATATTTGAGCTAGATCGTTAAACCACTCCTCAGCCGACTAGCTCCTCAAATGCGTTTTTCTTTTTTTTTAGTGTCGAAAAGCTGCAGTACGCTGCACTCACTGGAAGTGTTTCCAATGTCTTGAATAGTGTGCAAATGTTTGGGAAGGGGGCTCTGTCGAATTCAGTCTAAGCATCGGTAGCAAAGCGGGGAAATTCATCCTCTTGTAGTCAAGGTATAGTGTACTAGAACATGGGGTAGTGTGTTCAGGGAGAAGCCGTGGCGGACGCAGTTGGTATCGACAGCCGCAAGATGGCGCCACCTTAGCACGTGCTGTCACTTCACGCTTCGCCTTTTATGCACTTCTGCGCTTTGATATTAGTAACACCTGGGTTTTAACGTCACATAGCCACAACACGATTATAAGAAACGCCGTAGAGGATTGCTCCGGAAATCCCATAACCTGGGGTGCTTTATCGTGCACCTAAATCCAGGTACACGTACCTCAGTATTTGCGCCTCCGTCGTAAAAGCAGTCGCCTCGGCCGGGATTCGATCCCGTGATATGCGCTTGCATACGTAATTGCTGACACGTCCACGAAAAGCTTTCTAATGGGTTTGTACTGCATTCAAAACAAAACGAAATGTCAAAGCCGCAACACACGACCCAAATGCAAGCATTGACAAACGACGGCGAAGCAGTCATCCGTGGGGAAACTGCCTGCATTTTTTAAAGCTCGGTTGGTGAGCGAATAAAAAATTAAAAGATTGAGATATCGAAGGAGCATCAATAAACCCGAAAGTTTCTTGTTATATTACTGCTATATCGAGTCGTAATCTGCACACTGCGACAGCTTCGTCTTCCTTCGTTACGCGCGCGGCACTGGTCTTGTCGATAGTTGCATCATGCACTTTTAATTATGTTGCTAAAGTGACAAAACAGCCATTAGATTGAGAGGCACGCCGTGGCAGAAGACTTAATAATTTTGACAATTTTGCGTCTTTAAACAATTACGCGCCTGCCGAAATACTGCTGCTGTGGCCGAGAAATTGCACTGTACAGTCAAAAGGGAACATCACTTGGCAACACTGTCAGACTGTAAGAAGAAACCCTTTATTTAGGAGCACGCATACTGCAGTGAGCAGTAACACCGAATAAATTCGTCGCCATTCCGTGGAATTATCAGTTCACGATCACTTCATCACGGTGGCACCTTTATGAACTCCAACTGATTTTCGCGTGCAGCTTTTTTATTCTTTTTGCCTCTAGAGCATGGTTGATACCCTTCACGAAAAATGAAGTCGTGACCGCCCGTAAAATACCGCTCTCTTTGACACGAGATGTGGTGCGATCGAGCTCATATAAATTCAGGGTAAACAAAGCTTGAGTAAGCGTTCCAGCGAAACTGCAGTTTCTATAGTGTTCGCCACCTCGGGTTCGTAGTCAGCAGGAAGCTCCATCGATGAACCCGAATCAGTGGCCTCACCGCGAACACATGGTGCTGGAGTTTTCCTCTAGATGGCAGATTCGACCACCGAGTTCTTCCGCTTTGTCGCAGGTCTTCGATGCGGCGCTTTCTGCGATAAGTAGATTGGAGAGTTGGGCGGTAACATCGGCATGGCGTCCGGCGTTAGCTCTGGTTTTCTACGTGGTACGCGAACTTCTTCATCGTTTATAACGTGCGCGTAGTCTTCGAGAACACATGAAGACTCGAAGTGTAGCTCACATACAGAGCACCTTTCGTTCAAGGTCCCATTCTGTCGATGTAAATTCTGTTCCCAACTTTCCTCTGTGCTTCGTCTTTGGGTGCTGCGATAAGCGACGGCTGCTCACCGTTTTTCGAAAGGTATGCCTGTTTTGAACCTAGATGCAAAGCAGTGTCGTTGCCGTCGATGATTCGGCATCGCCTCACTGTCACGTGACCAGCAAAAACATTGCCAGAAAAACTTTCGTTAAGCGGGTGCGAACACAAGCAACAGGTCACTGAACAGCACCCGAGAAGGCAGAGCGGCACGGAGTTGACAATCCTGCCAGCCCATGCTACGGCAGCGCCGCCTTGAAAACCGGTTTTTTGTCCACGTGCGCCGCTTCACGCGCTGCACGGCGAGAGAGGGTGCCAGAACCACTACCCCATATTCTAGTACACTATACTCTAGGCCATGACTATGACGGCGGCAACGATGACAGACATGGACTTCCGTCCTCGGCGGTCAAGCTACAATAACACAAAGAACCGCCAAATTTCTGAAGACCGTCATTAGAAAACTTGTAAAGCTGGTTTGAAGCATTCAAGCGTGCAGCTACTGTCAATGCCTGGAGCAAGGATAATCTACGGGATGTCTATTTCACCTTGTCGGATGCCACCAGGACGTAGTACAAGAAGCAAGAGTCAAGCTTCCCAAAGTGGGACACCTCTCGCTTTAGATTCTTGACCACTTAAGAATCGTCTTGCGCAAAGAAAGGCCCCAAAGCCTGCTTGAAACTCGCTTCCAGCTACCCAACGAAAGCGTCGTGCTCTTCACGAAAGAAAGGCTGGGCTTTTCGACCACGCAGATCCTGAAATGCCGGAAAAGTAGAGTGCCCATCTCCTCATTCGAGGCGTTAAGTAACAGCTTTTCGCAAAACTGATGCGGAACTCACAAAACAGTGTTTAAGTATTTGTCTCAGAAGCGACCACTATCGAGAAGACTCTAGGCATGCGCAACTATCAGTGCAATTGCCGTTTGACGCCGCAGTTTGCCAACATTCAAGCATGTTGCTCCATTGATCTTGTGGAAATGCTCAGAGCAGTCATGCAGGAAAAGCGTTGAAAATTCCAGCCTTCATCGCAGCGCCAAGTAGATTCTTTGCTGACATCGTGTGCCATAATATCCAGCAATCCCTGGGTGTTCCTCAGCAAGCAGAGCCGCAGCCGCTGGCTTTTAACTACACCGCTCCTGTCCGATGACAACAACAAAGACACTCCATCGCAGTTCTGACGCCACTACAACAAAACTACGACGTCAGTCAACTAAGTCACCATTGACTTTATATCACCCGCCAGTCTCCAGTACTCGCCGATGAAAATCACCGTTTGGTGTGCCCCAGGCAACCACCCACTCTGCTACTACTTCCAGAAAGCCGGTCACACCTACTGTCGATGCCAGTACCACCAGGTGGGCCTAAGTAGATTCCCCGTAACGCACCGGCTCCACATCATAGTGAGAGACCGTACGACATTGCCGACTATCTTGCGGGAGCACTAGGTGCGCTCCGATGAACTTTCCGATCGCCTTCGCTAGGCGGCTACGCCTCATAGTACCAGAGTCAGTACGCCGACTCTTCTCGGGGCCGATCTACGAGCCTTTACTCGAAAAACTGACAGCAACCAAATAATTAAATTAAACCTCAAAGACCAGCCGTAACGTGAATGTTCCCCGGCGTCGAATTTTCGTGGTGAGAAGAATTCTAGTGACTGCCTGGATACAGCGCAGCAAACCGATGTAGCCGTGATCCGACGCAGCGACATGACCGCAACGCCAGGAAGGCTACAGCATTACAGCTCTCGTCCATCTTGTAGACAACTATCCCGTCCCTAGTGGCACTTTTGATCACTGCAAAGTTTAGAAAGTATACGCACCGCTTCAAAACACCCTGAAAACTGGACAGCGAAGGTCACCTAGTAACGCCGGCGGGAATCTGCAAACCCGAAGTCACCATAAACAGCTAGATTTATCCAGCAGGCTTCGTAGTACTGCAGCATAGTACTTCGTAGTACTGCGGCAAGTACACAGTCCTGCTCTCATAGAAATCGCAACACTTTATTACCTGCGGCAACCACAAAAACGCACAACGGCGCCCAATGCAAAAAGCGGCGGGAAAGCGAACCAGGTTTGCTTGAGAGATATGATCCTTGGTATGATCTTTTTCATGTTGTTTCATTTACCTGAGAACAGTTGGTAACACTATCCACAGATGAAGCCGTGCCGCCGCATACTCCACCAGGAAGCCACGTCTTGAATGTGATAGAAGAAGGAGTCACCATCCCGCCTCGCTCTATTGTCATTATTTTCGTTAGCACGGCGATACCAGAAGAATTTAATGGCGTCGCACCTTAGGTAGTCACAAACAAAGATGGTCACAAATTTCAGCAATGAGTACAACCACTTCTGCAATGGGACGACGACCGCTTACATCAAGAAAACTTTGAAAGCCACCATCGCTTTCACCCTCAGTGAATCTGCTGATGCAACTCCAACAGACCAAACTCCTCAACCAACGATAGTTACAGCGCGAGAACGGAACGACGTCACAGAGACAAGAAGGACACGAAGGACACGAGCGCAAACTTCCAACTGAGTTTATTGCACAGAGCGCGAAAATTTATAGAGGAGACAGTAAACCATGTGACGAAAACCATGTGGCACGAAGCACAATACATGAGTAAGGGGAAAAACAACGAAAGCACAAAAGAGGCAAAGAAAAGTCTTTAAGGAAACGAAACATAAAAGTTAAAGTAATATAAGTACTTGCACGCACCGAAACCTTCGAGGAACCTTAGTTTCTTCTCGGACAGAGACCCGGAGGGCTTGCTAATGCATGACACCTGTTCGCGTGCCATCTGCGCGGCCTCGACGATGACTCAGGTGCGCTCATCCCTGTGCTTGTACAGTGTCACTGTGTCCTTGAAAAGTGGCACACAGTTGTACTCGGTGCAGTGCTGAGAAAGAAAACCATCTTTTCTGTTTCTAACATTGTTAGCTCGTTCTCTCAGTCGATCGCGCAGAGAACTTCCGGTCGTTTCGACATAACAAGCACCGCATAAAAGGGGGGTCCTATGGACAACTTCCCGGGAGCATGCCGCATAGCTGTTTTTATGCTTAACTCTACATTTCGTTGATGACTGCGTTCTCAGGGGGTTTGCAGATTCAGTGAGGCTGTATAATTTGAACGGCGCAGAGAACAGGACATGAACTCCCACTCGTTTTCCGATTTTCTTGAGCCTGTGTGATATCTGGTGTTTGTATGGAACCACGGCTATCCTTTCACGCTCTGTATCCGTGTTGCTCAGATCCTGTCGCTGCCTCTGCTCTGCCCTATTAGTCCGCAGGATAGTCTCAGCAACGAAAGCGATAAACGCCTCAGGAAAATAGATAGATAGATAGATAGATAGATAGATAGATAGATAGATAGATAGATAGATAGATAGATAGATAGATAGATAGATAGATAGATAGATAGATAGATAGATAGATAGATAGATAGATAGATAGATAGATAGATAGATAGATAGATAGATAGATAGATAGATAGAGCTCATATCTTGAAGTTCTGTATGTCGTTGAAGTTCTCTAAGAAATGCTTCGCATTTAAAAGGCACAAGGTACCTACTGCAAAAGATGGCGGGAAAGCAAAGGAGGCTTATCGACGCCATGGGCGTAAAGTACAACACAAAGGGTGGCGTGAACGCGTCTCCGTGGACAAAAAGAATTTATGGTGACATGCCACCGAGGGAAAGGCCGCACATCTATGATGTTGCTTGTTCTGATATGCTCGTAGGCAAAACGAGAACTGGGTGCCGCTCTCTTTGCTCCGTGAAATGTATGCTGCTTCTTTTTTTTTTATGTAGAGGCGGCAGCGGCGCCGGTTCTAGCGCCGGGCTCGCGTCGTTATTTTATAGGTTTCTTAGCAAAGCTAAGCGCCTCCAGCCTCGCAAAGCCTGATGAAGCCAAGCACACAAAGTAATTTAAAAAAGGATCACCCTAATTTAAGGTCTGGCGTTCCCATGTCACCAATTTCCCTCGGGGTGGGTGCCCTCCCAAGCGACTACAACTTCATTCGCCCGAGCACCAGGTCGGAAGTGCGCTTGTACCTATTCAGCCAGTAGGTGCCTGGCGGCAGATTCTCTGCCTCCCACGGCAGCGGTGCATGCTGAACTATTTCTCAAAGACTGTGGTGGGTTAAGGTACGCCCAGGGGTCTTCGCAAAACTTTATAGGGCTGCCTTTCGGAAATGAGTGCCAAGAAACAACCGCGCGCCAGTTCGGTGTACTCCTCTACCCATTGGGAATTGCGTATGCACGTGGGTCGCTTGGCCTTGGCTTTTCTAGGGAATGATTCATAGGGATGATAAAGTCTCCCGACCATACCCACCATGTCCTGGCTATTCAGTACGCCCATGACAAGGCTAGGAGGCTTGACCTCCCAGTTTCGACGTGGGATTAGCCAGGCAGGTGGAAACACCCTGTACCAGACGTAATTATAAATTTATGTCTATTTATCCATTCATCCGCTTGAATATGTCTCACGCAAGGTGTATTGAAGTGCTTCGGTAAGAACGTATTTTCGGCAGCCGCCGCAGCTTCTTCTGTTGTAACAATAGTTGAAAATTGACTTGAGAACTTGGGGCTCCAGCTGTCAGCCACACAGTTTTGAATGGGATATTTCAGCTTCAGGACGCACGTGCCTTTAGCAATGTAATGTTCTTACCTTCTTGTCGTTGAATTATAAACATCGAGGGTTCGGTTAACCCTCTGTGTTGTTTCATTTCCATTCAAATAGCGGGAGCGTACACAGGGAAGCTTCTTTCTATCGTAGTGTTCACTTTTTCCGGCAGGTATGGACACACGGGAAAGATAAGCGTTAGATTGGTTTTGAATGAACTGGAACGAGAAAGAGGTACGTACTATACAATACGATCTGCGAGAAGCATAACTGGTGTTTAATCACAGTCCCCTCTCTGCCACTTGCTCTCTGCAGTGTTGTGATTCTTGTATACGACTCCTCTTTTTTCAGAAGCTTCGTCTTTCTGAGAATTATAGCAACCGTTTAATGGTAACGACTGAATCTAAGGTGTGTGAAAAAAGGAAAATAAAAATTTTCGGACAGTAGGAATTATTGTTTTAAGTGAATCGTACCACCATATACCAGCTACTGACGGGGTGCATGTGTGTTGCTGAATAACCTTTTTGTGTACCGAAATTACACATTGTAAAAATTAAGGTAGCGTGCCTTAAGAAACAATGAGTGATATATCAGCTGATACCACAATGCAGAAAAGTTAGAATTTTATGCACGTCCATCAAATCGTTCGTCTATCTATCTATCATTCTATCTATCTATCTATCTATCTATCTATCTATCTATATCTATCTATCTATCTATCTATCTATCTATCTATCTATCTATCTCTCCGCCTACCACTTTCAGCTTCAATATTGGTATCGTTTTAATAAGGCCGTTTCACTAATGATATCGATACCAAAATTGATATGGCATACCATTACTGTATCACGAGCACAACTGGTTAGTCATAACTTAAAATCATGACATTTATGTCATGAATGTCATGATTTACATTTGATGGTGTTGCTGCTCCTGCGGTGGTTTTCTTCACATGACATATGACAAAATTTGTATGGTATGACATGAAAGCATGGCGAACTCAGTGACAGACCCCTAAAATAAAAAATTAAAACTCGCATGCCATGTAACTCGTGAGTCATGCCTACACGCCACGCTCATGGTGCGCTCGTGGCCATGTCACTAGCTTCACATACACCAAATTTGTATTACCTGGCGCAAATGGACGACTAAGGTAAATGACACGTCCAAACATGATAATCACGGTATGCATGTCACGTAAATTATGCCTGCATGCTATGACCATAGCGCACTCGCGGCCGTTTCGCTTGCTTCACATACACTAAAGTTGCTATAACGTGGCGTGAATAGACGATGAACGCAAAGGCCAAGCGCAAACATAATAATCATGACATGAAAGTCATGTACGGCTTATTTTACAAGCCTACCACTGCTGTGTTGATATTGGACGCGTTAATGGTGCTGTCGTTACGCGATTATAAAGAACATACCTGCATCTTATCTTAATACCTGAGTGCGAATAATATTTCTACTTCTGTTTACTGTCTACTAGGTTTGTGCGCCTCGTGACGTTGTCCCTACTTTAAAGTGACATATCAAGCTTCCTCATTCTCGCTTCGTATATTATCGCTTCCAAATTTACGAGGGATCTGCCAATTTCTTTAACCCGAGAGCAGAACACATGCATGCTCTCTTTCAAAGCGTCCCGTGTAGATTTCGTTAATTGAATTATTTCGAGCATGGAAGTTGTCGATTATTTACACCTTCCAGTCTGTGTCAAGAAACCGAGAAAAAAAAGAGGGCACCAGCTCGCGTGGTGGAGATGCTGGGAACTAACGGCCGAGGGCTTCCAGGGTCATCTTATTAAACAGTGCCGGAGCCAAGTGGCTTTGCGATGAAGGTGAGTGTAATCGCAGCGTCTGCAAAGCCATCGTTTAAAACATTTGGTGCCGAAACCCAAGAATAAAGGAACCTGCAGATGGCTACCAGTCGATTGCACCAGCATAGACTGACTGAAGTCAAATTGGACGTCACGGTGAGCCCAAAACACGGGGATTATTAGCGAGGCAAGTGCCCTTTTTGCTAAAACGACTGTGTACTTTATGACCAGCTCTGTTTCATTTATGAAAGGCTGCAGGCTAACAACGATATATTTATTAACGTGAACACCGAAATTGAGCAGAACATTTTTTTACCTCGAGTTTCAGATTGAGTATAACGGCGTCCTGGAATATGAAGACAATGCCACTCAGATTCTAGCAGAGATTAGTAGCAAGAAATACTGTATGCTTTAGCCGTTCACTCCAACGGAAAAAATCCATTACTCAAACAGTCGGGGCACCATTCGACGTAACTATAGTTAAATTGCCTAAACTAACATTACCTCTTTTCAGTGGGGAACTCTGCTAGTGGACTCCAATTCGGGCGCTGCTCGACCAAATTATGGACAGATCAGGATAATGACCACAGAAAGTTCAATTACCTGCGACTTCATTTCAAAGGAGACGCTGAATTAGTAAATGTGGGCCTTTTGAAGATTCAATTACCATGGTGCAGAAGCGCCTTGGTGATGAGATGCGGCTAGAGCAAGCGTATATTGCGAAGCTACGTATGTTGAGCCCTGTTTCTTTATGAAATGACACCAAAGGCGTGGGCAGTTTGTGCGATCAAATTCTCCTCAATACCCGAGCCCTGAGTGAGCATAAGGAATCCTCCTTATCTATGCTTTGTGGCATTTAAAAAAGAAAGAAAAAGAAAACAAGCTCCCCGGGCACGCTCCCTCTCCCCGCGGAAGCGTGGCTTCGCCCGACGAACCTCCTCACATCCACAACGGCGGCCGAGCAAGCACTCGATCTTTTTAGATGGAAGGGGCGTGGTCATACCGATTGAGTCCATCCGTCGCGGAGGGCATTCGAACCGTCTCGCCCTCGTCCCCAGCCTTCGCTGCGTATCGCGCCGACGAAATGACGAGAACCTTCTGGAATCTCGCGCGGAAGGTATTTAATCGAGCAGCCGAGACGAGAGAGCAGGAGAAGACGGAAGTTAGTGCCAGAGCGCGTAGGGTGTACCGCCGTGTAGTCGGCGAAGGTTTTGTCCGTAGCGACAAAGCAGGAGAAGAAGAAGAGGATTTCCACCTGAGGGGTGAAGGCTCGAGCTACAGGCAAGAGCGTGTGTCTACCGCTATCGAGCGAAGACGCTTGGCAACAGCTGCGCGTGTGAAGCCGACGTGTTTCTGGCGAAGAAGTTGGAAGCTTGCAGAGAGGCCAACTAAAGACGCGAGGTTTCCTGGAAGAGAAACTTCAGGGGCAGCGGAACGACAACAACGCTGGACTTTGAGTGAGTGATTCTCGGAAGAGTATCATCCAGACTTTTGTTCCAAGAACTTTGGACTGAATAGGTTTTTTTATCTCTTTAGTCTTTAAGTGTCTTGGTTGTTCAATGCATGCGACTCCATTGTAGTGCGTATTGTTTTCTGTGTCCATTGTTTCGAGTGTGGCTGATTGTACTGTGTAGTACGTTGTTTAATTGGTGACATATTGTATGCAACTATTGAGGAGTGTGCATTCTTGTGTATTGTTTTTGATCTGCCATTATTGAGAATATAATTTTGTTTGTTTATCAACTCTCGGCTCTGACTTGTTCTTTGGGCCACAGCCGGCGTCCGCTGGCGCACCAAAAAGGACCACTTCTAATTGTCCACGCTTTCGTGGTGCGGTTCGGGGGCCGATACTTCGGCCCTTGGAATCAGCCCGGCAATCGCCTCCCTAATTAACGGGACTTGTGACAATTAATCTGGCGTTCGCGACAGGACCTTTGGTGCACAGTGTGTCCAAAGTAGTGAGAAAGAGCCTCGAGTTGTGATAGTGCTATGGGAACGATTTTGTGTGTTGTTCAGTGTTCTCGTAACCCAGTGCAGGGGAGTGTTCCGATAGACTGATTTAGGCAGATACTTTTTACACGCGGCAAGGTTTTATTTGCGAGACACAATGGATCTCGAAAAGTTAGTCGCTCTTGGTGAGAAGATGGGTCTTTCTGGCGCCGAACTACGGAAATGGGTAAGCCAGAAGGAGAAAGAGGCGGTGGAGAGAGAGAGGTTGGCAGCTGAGAGAGCAAAGGAAGAAAAAGCAGCTGAGTTGGAACGAGAGAGGTTGGTAGCTGAGAGGGCCAAGGAAGAAAAAGCAGCGGAGTTGGAGAGAGAGAGGTTGGCAGCTGCGAGAGAGAAAGAAGAAAGAGAGGCAAAGGAGCGACAGCTGAAAGAAGAAAGAGAGCAGCAATTGAAGTTGGAGCTGGAGAAAGAAAAGCTGGCCGCTGAGAGGGCGAGAGAAGAAAGAGAGGCAAAGGAGCGACAGCTGAAAGAGAAAGAGAGCAGCAATTGAAGTTGGAGCTGGAGAGGAGAAGTTTGCAGCCGAAAGGGCGAGAGAAGAAGAGAAGCGAGGGAGCGACAGCTGAAAGAAGAAAGAGATGCGGAGATGGCTGAAAGGGAACGGCAGCGGCAGCACGAAATTGAACTCGAGCGGCTCCGTTTGCAACAGCGAAGCGAAACTCCCGTCCAAGCTAGAGTCGAAAGCAGCGAACGGGAAGATCATGGCTTCCGCTTGAACCCAAGCAAGCTGCTCGTAGCGTTTGATGAAAGGAAGGACGACCTTGACGCGTACCTTCACAGATTTGAGACGATCGCAAGGAGCCAAAATTGGCCGGAACATCAATGGGCAACTGCTTTGAGTACTTGCTTGAGTGGTGAAGTGCTCAGTGTGTACGGTAGGCTGACGCCGACTGATGCAGCCAGCTATACAAAGGTGAAAACTGCTTTGCTGAAGCGATTTAGATTTACTGTGGAAGGTTTCCGGGAAAGATTTTGGACAGGAAGGCCAGCTGATGGTGAGACGGCTACACAGTACGCCGCCCGACTTAGCCATTATTTCGACAGATGGATTGAACTTTCAGGGACAGCGCAGGAGTACGATGAACTTAGAGAGCTCCTAATTAGAGAACAATTTCTTACTAGTTGCCACCCAAGCCTCTCGCTGTACTTGAAAGAGAGGAGAGCTAAGTCACTTGAAGACATGCTTGAATTAGCTGATCAATTCTTGGAAGCGCAAGGTGGCACTAATTTGGCCAAAGTCAAGAAGGAGTGTCCCGAAGATTCGAAGAAATCGGCTCCTGAGGAAAAGAAGCGTGCACCGGAGAGCATTCCGCGATGTTTTCTGTGTAACCAAGTGGGTCACCATGCTAACCACTGCCGAACTAACTTCACGAGCCCCACGGTTGTAAAATGCTT